CTGACAGGTCCACTGTCCACACTGGCGCACCACACCCCCTGGTCTGTCAGTCTGTTCCACTGTGGTGGCTGGTGTGTGACGGATGCTGGAAGCAGTGTCCCCACTGGTGCATGGCAGCAGGGTCGCCCTGGTGGCAGATTCAACTGAGCTTCGAGGAGAACTGAACAAAGGGCTGGTGCTCCCCTTCCAAAATCTAGTCATTAAAACATTTCTGTCAAATTGATGCTGACTCCCTGCTCCCGCTGTGTTTCAGAGGGAAACGACGCCATGGAATTTTTTTTGTGTTTTGATGTAATCTTCATGGGAGGCAGTTGGCAGCCCTTCTCATTCCCCCCCCTTTTCTTTTTCTAATAATGGCTTAAAAACAATTAGTATTTAAATATAGTTACACTTTTAAATATTAAGGACAAAGTGCGGAGCACAGTGCATACCAAGGATATCCTTTTAAAGAATAAGCTGTGCCTGGTCAGGGCCGACTCTTCATTTGCTTCAGGCGCGTCTGGAGTGAATAAAGAGGACCACGGAAGCATTGAGGCCTTGAGCCGTGATGGTGGAGGCGACTTGACTATCCCATGGGCGGCTTAACACACAGTCCCTCTTGGAGGAAGGGCGTCTCCGGTGCTCGTCAGAGGCAAGGATGGTGAAGCTTCTTCACCTTACACACTCCAGGCATGTTCTCGGGTGGGGCCAGTCCTGGGACAGGGAGGTCAGAGAGAAGCCCCTTGACAAGAGGGCCTGGCCCTGTGCTGTCCACTGGGCTCACCCGTCTGAGATGGTGACGGTGGCCTGGGACACAGGGTTCAGTCCTGCCCTCGGATGGCTGCTCTGAGTCCTTGTGCCACCAGGGTCGTTCTTAGTGGAAGCTCTGGTGCCACAGTCTGTATGCTTGTGCTGCTAACTCTAAGGCGATGCCTCCGACGGTTCAAATCCCCCAGCAGCCGTGTGGGAGGAGTATGGCCAGGGAGTCCCCTGGTGGGCCCTGCAACCTCAGCAACCCGGTGCAGGCGCAGCTGTGAGTTGGTTCTGACTGGAGTTTTCTTTGTGGACCCAAGTGTCATGTCAGGGCCCTGGGGTGAGTGGCCCCTAGTGACACAAAGGATCCCCGAAGGGCCTGCTCTCAGACCGCCAGGAGCAGACTCTGACATCTTCAGGAGCCTCTCTTGACACACACCTGTTCTGTCCTGTGCCCCGACATCTGCTGGGGTGAGGATAAGTGAGCGAGGCTGGTGGGACCACAGGTCCCTTATTATGACAGGCTGGTGGCTGCTGGGCATCCTGGAGGAGCCCAGGACAGACCCTGCCTGGTGTGAGAGACATCAGGGGCTCAGGTGGGAGGCAGGTTCCAGGGTTCTGTGGATGTAGGGAGACTCCAAGGCACCAGAGATGCCGAGAAGTGTGCAGACCAACATGGTGCCACCTTGACAGCAGTGCACCTGGGCAGAGGCATTCGCTTCGTGCCCACGCTACAGAGCAAAGTTGCCAGGGATGGCCGATGTCATGCCAGAGCCCTCAGCCCTTAGCCTCCAAGGGCGGTTCTGAGGCTGACCTTACCACTGACCCTGCAGTCTGGAGTAGGGTGCCGTTCCCTGTCACCATGTGAATAGCACCTTCTGAGCTTGTTAGACTAGACAGGAAAACTGTTTTAAACTTTAACTGAATTCCTGCTGGTTTTGCTTTGACTAACCGACCTTTCCACTTTCCTGTTTTCATATGATGCACTGAAAGTATTTTCTGCTAAAACTGTTTAGACCAGAAGGCCAGCATTCAGTAACGCATTGCAGGCCCAGGACACACACGCGTGAGCAGCCTGACCACCTCCTGAAGGAATCGGTGCCTTGGAGCTGTGGTGTTGGAGAAGAGTACTGAACATCCCCTGACGGCTAGAAGAACAAGCAGACATGTCTCGGAGGAGGAATTGGAGGCCGGGTGCCCCTGAGACACAAGGGTCATGAACTTGATCCATGTACTTTAGGCATGATGTCAGGAGCAGCCAGTCCTTGGGCAAGGACATCATGCTTGGAAAGATGGAGGGCCAGCAAAGGAGAGGAAGACCCTCAACAAGGTGGATGGACACTGACCGGAACAATGGGCTCAAGTGTCTCAGAGATGGTGAGACTGGCACAGGCTGGCACAGGGTTCAGAGGAGCTGTCAGTAACAACTAGCACCTTGCCTGTGGTGCCAGCCTTGACCGGGGAAGATCGCAGCTGCTGGACCCGAGGGACACAGCTGAGTGTTACACTGTTACAGTCACAGCGCAGTCCCCTCCTGCGGGGTCTTCCTCTCTGCCTCTGGCCTTCCACCCTCCTCAGCACAATGTCTTTTTTCCAAGGCCTGAGCCCTTCTGCCTAAAGCACACACAGGTCTCTCTTAGAGGAAACCCAGCCACTGTGCTACTTAGAGTGGGGGTGGGGGCACTGCGGTGCTTCTTAGAGTGGGGGTGGGGGCACTGCGGTACTTCTTAGAGTGGGGGGCACTGTGCGGTACTTCTTAGAGTGGGGGGCACTGTGCGGTGCTTCTTAGAGTGGGGGGGCACTGCATGCACAGTGTCAGAGGAGGCAGGGGAGAGAGAGCAAATGACAGTGTGCCAGAGAGACTGGAGACAGGAGAATGAGAAGGAGGAAGTCCCCAAGGACGAGCACCCCAGAAAGCTCACCCTAAAGCAGACACTAAGAGCTCCCCTCTCCCACTGCCCAGACACATGCCCGCCATGTGCTGGTTGCTGCCCACATAACTCCTTCAAGCACTGCTCAGAGCTAGGGCTGGTGGGTCCATTTCACAGATGGGAAAACTGAGGCTCAGAGCAGCATCTGGAGAGTCTTCAGCCTCAGTCTGCTCGCATGTAAGCATTGAACTGCCCCTCCCGCACACAGGTGCACAATCCCAAGTGACTTGCTGACCACTAAGACAGATGATGACCAGCCTTGTGGCAGTGACGGTGTCAGGAGCCTCTGAGTCACCAGTCAGTGCAGAGCCCAGAGAGGAGCGTGGTCGGGGGACCAGGCTGCAGCAAAAGTCAGCCCATCCCATCCCTGCTAGGACCACCTCACCTCCATCCACGTGAGGGATGGGCACAGGGGCAGGACTTCAGAGACCCCAGAAGTTCCTGCTCCACCAGGGGATGGCAGATGGTGGCGGTGGTGGCCACTGCAGATCCCAGAACCAAGGCAGCAGGATGGGAGGGTGTGACTCGGGCAGGTGGGCCGGCAGGTAGGGCAGGTAGGGCTGAGGCTGGAGGCAGGGCGGGTGGGGAGAGACTGTGGCAGGGGCCAAGGCACGGACGCCCCAGGCTGCTGAAGCCACTGTGGACAGTGAGGGTCTGGGAGCTGCTGTGGGGAGACACCCAGAAGTGGAGGCAGAAGCCACAGCCCAGGAGCAAGAGAGAGGTGAGCGGTGGAGGTGCCTGCACACCAGGTGGGGGTCTGCCCTGAAATGCTGAGAAGTGCCCATCACTGCCCAGGAAGCCTCTGAAACCCCAGGGAGGCATCCCTGTAGCAAGAAAGGGTCTTGGGTTGGTGGGGGGATCTGATCCAGGTAGACCCTGCCCCAGGAGCATGTCTGCCCCTCACAGGTACACCCCCAGAGCCGGCGCAGGCTCAGGGCTGATGGGTTCATGATGCACGTGTTGGGTGGGCACAGCCTTTCAGAGTGCCCACAGAACTTTCCACAGGGCCAAGGATGGCCTGGGCACAGGCAGGACAGAGAGGAAGGGCGGGGCACAAAGGAAGCCTGGTGACCTCAGAGGGTCGGGGCCGAACTGGGCCAGCCAGGACCCCAGGAGCCACTGTCTCTGCCCCCAGTGCCCGGGAGTACTCACACAGCCGCAGCCCTCCATGCTGGCCAGGCCCAGGCTGGCCCCATTGTAGCCGAGGACACCAGCAGCTAGGAGGCCCCCTCTGATTGGGAGCTCACACTCCCATGTGCACTCAAGGCTGTGGGACCCAGGGTAGTGGGGGGTTCCGACAAGTTCAGGACAAGCTCATGGGCACAGCAAGTGTCCAGAGCCAAGGTCCAGCCTCCTTGCCTGGCCTAGAGCTGTGACCGCACCACCGCGAGTCTCCTCCCAGCTTAGTGCCAGCCAGTGTGGTGCACTTCACAACGTGGCCACGAGAGGGCGGCACTCCCCAACTCGTCCTGGCCATGGGCCCCCCAGGGACAAAGCTGAGCGCTCAGGAAAGGGGACAGCGTCCAGGTTCACGAGTGGGTGGGATGCTGGCAAGGGACAGTTGGCTGAGCCCAGAGGCCGACTTGGAGGTGCTGTCATCTTTGCTGCAGGCGGGCGACAGGCCAGGCTGCTGCAGGAGCCAGGTGGATGGGCTAAAGGCAGGGCCAAAGCACTGGGAGTGGAACTGACCAGGCCGGCTCTTACCCTCACCAGCCAGCCTGCCCACAGGAGCTCTTCTGGACACTGGCCAGCTGCTTGGAGCTGTCACCTGGGCTCCAGTCCACAGAGATCCAGGGGACAGGGGCATAGGATGGGCAGGCAGGTAGGGTCAGCTCTGAGAGGCAGCCACCACCTTGCTGCCCCTCCTGACTGGACAAATGCCAAGGCACCAGTCACAGCACAGAGGCCCCACAAACCCAGCCCCCTTGGGCAATAGGGCAGGGTGTGTTCCCAAGGCCTGGTGCCCTTTGTCCACTTTGCCTGGCCTGGCACAACTGCACCAGCCTGCTTCCCCAGGTCCTGCTCCTGGCATGTGGCCAGGATAGCACAGTGGTGCCACGCCCAGAAGCCTCATACTCAGTCCTCAACTGAATATCCTGCACATGAGGCAGGCTAGAGGCGTCTGTGGCCCCTGTGATGCCCAGGGAAGGGAATAGACACCCAGGCCAGCTGCAAACAGGGACTCCCTCAGGCCCGTCATGGGCCCCAATGAGAAGGGACAGGCAGACCGCCAGCCTGCCTAGCCTGTAAGGCAGATGAGAGCCCAAGCTCAGGACAGCAGACCTCTCAGAGACACCCTGCAGGGTCCAGCAGGTGGAAAAGGCTGCCCATCTAGCCATGGGGCTCCTGTCTCAGGACTGGTGAGGATACCTCTCTGCTGTCCTGAGTGGAGGCAGAGATACCTCAGCAGGGGGCAGCAGGCAAAGCCCAGCTGGGAGGAAGCGGAGTCCTGTTCCAGCTGTCCCTGCTCTGAAGGTTAGGAAGGACGCCCACCTCGATGCTGGACCCTCTGACCTATAAAGGAGGGAAGAAGGGGCACCAGGGTGCGGCCTCAGTGGACTGTGCATAAATGAGAGGACCCTGGGTCCCCTTCCCTCCTCCCTTAACCACAGTGTGACCTCTGTCCAGTGTCTGCCCCCACTGAGTGTCTCAGAGAGGGGACTGGAGAAAACCTGGGAAGGCCTGGCCCTGCTAGAGGCACTGGAAGCAAGGAGTGAAGGTCTGTGTTGGTGGAAGGGTATTACCTGGGCAGGGAGGTCATGAGGCAGAGGACCAGCCAGCACATACCTAGCACCCATCCCTGCTGGGCCTTGGACTGGAACCACTTTACAGATAAAAAACTGAGACCCAGAGGACAGTAATGGCCTAGATCAAGGTCAAAAGGAAAGGCTAAGACTGCTTGGGAAGAGATCCATTCAGGGTAGGGTCAAAACACTGAAAGGCACTCCATCTAAGTGTACAAGACACACATGGCCCAGTGTTGCAAGGAAGCGTTGCAGCCAAAGCCATCACCAGGAGACAAAGTCATTCCAGAGTATGTGTGGTTCTGTGCGGGAAAGCGCAGGGGTCAAGCCGGAGGCGGTCCTCAAGGCAGTGACTAAGCAAGAAGGTGCGGCTAGGGCAGCTGGGAAAAACTGGACCACCATCCTCCATCCCAACAGGTCACCCACCCTGTGGCGTGACCTTCTGTGAAAAGGCAATAGTGGTGACCCACCATCCCAGCTCTGCTCTGACCCCGAGGTGGAGAGTTGGTGTCACAAGGAGGCCAACAGCACACACTGTGCAAACAAATGGACAGAGAATCCCAGTGACAATTAGAACTGTGGGGCCAGGGAAGGGAACACTCGAGCTGAGCCTGGAGGACAGGGAGGCAGCTGTGAGGAGCGCAGGACGGAGGGTTCCAGGTCAAGGACAGGCGTTCTCAGAGCACGGCTGGTGCCAGGGCCAGTCTGAGGAGGACCGTCAGATGAGGGAAGGGCTAGAAGGCGTGGCCCCAGCTGTGCAGCCCAGTGACAGTGGACCGCTAGGGTCTCCAGAGTTAGTTCCATCTGCCCCCAGGAAGTCAGGGGTCCGTCCAGGAAGGACCCTCAGGCTGCCAGGGTGGTCAGGGTGTGGGGACTCAGGGCAGTCCACAAAGGGCAGAGTTGACCTCCACGATGGGCCCATGCTGTGCTTGTGTCTTTAAGCAAGACCCAGTGTCCCCTCATGGACACCTGTAGGGAGGGGGTTTTTCATAGAGGCCTCTGGGGCACCAGGATTGATGAGGGTCAGAGGGTTTCTGCCCAGCACCCTCCTCCTCTGAGGGCCCCTGGCACAGCCCCCACACCAAGAGTGTTTGGGGGGGCCTCAGCGCCCTCCTTTTTGAGTTGAGGTGGAATCCACAGATCAGAATGTTCCTTCCTCCTGCCCCATGCGGTCTGGTGAGCTCACAGAGTGCTCAGCCTGACGCCAGGCACCAGCCCCTTGGTGGCACAGCACCTCCTCCCTCCTTGGGTCCCTGCGCCCATCCCCTGCCCTCTGAGAGCTGCGTGGGCAGCAGGAACCGTCCTCAGGTGCATAGGTAGCGTTTAGTGCACGCAGCGCAGCCCTGGACAGGAACCCCAAACCCCTCCGGCCAAGGAGGCTGCCCCTGGCCCCTCGAAGCCCTGCTAGGCCTCCCGCCCCACGCAGCATCCGGGGCCTGCGTCCCGGCATCCTGGCGCCGCTGTCTCTGGAACACGGGCGGCAGCTGCCTGGCAGTGTGGCCCAGGCAGGTGAGGCGCCTGGCGACCAACTGGCAGGTTCCTGGAAGCCAGCTGCGTCCGAGCAATCGAGCGTCAACAGCGCGAGGGGGTTGGCTGCGAGGCTCCGCCCCCGGCCTCCCGCCCGCCCTGTTGCCCAGCCGCCCCAGGTGGGCCAGGTGGGCAGCGCGGGAGGTGGGGCCGCCCTGTCCCCGCCCGGTGGCGCAGAAGAGCTGGCGAGAGGGTAGCCTGGCTCCGCCCCAGGAGGCTGGCGGCCGTGGGACACGTGGCCACGCGAGTGGCCAGCCGGGCTCCCGGGAGGCCGGGCCTCCGCGCTTCCTGCCTGCGGAGGTAGGAGCTGGGCCGGGGCTCAGGTGGGTCAGAGGCGAGGAGGCCGGGCTCGGGACAGGGGACAGAGAGCCCCAAGGGCAGCTGTCCAGGCTGAAGATCCTGCGAAGGGTCTGGCCAGAACAGGTGGCAGAGCGGGCTCCCAGGGAGGGAGGGCAGGGTGGCTGTGGGCAGTGGAGGCTGTGACCGGCCGCTGTGGGATCCTGCTGGGCTCCCCCTTCTCAGATGCCCCTCCCTGCCCCCCCCCGCGGGCAATTCTCTGATCCACCCCCCCGAAAGTGAGCTCTGCTTCCCTGGCTGGTGCGTACAATTATCAGACAGCAGTGCAAACCCACCAGAATCTGCGGACAAAAGGCCTGGCCCCTCTCCTGGTGGGCAGTGGGGTCAGAATCCTCTGGTCAACCACCTCCAGGAGCCCTGTGCCTCACACCAAGAAGCCAGCTCAGCAGAGGGCGAGCCTGGACGACAGGGGAGCCCATGTCAGAGTCCCTCACAAGGACTGAGACCCCCACAGAACTTCCCCGGACTCAGGCCAGGGGCTAGTCAGACCCCAGTTGTCACACATAGGAGGGAGCCCAGGAACAGCCAGTGTGTGGAGAGAGGCACCATCCATTCCAGGCTTAGTGGGCACACCTGCCAGCTAAAGCCCACCTGCCCGGTGTTCCTGCCCATCCCCTTCCTGCGCCAGCGTCCCCAACCTTTGTCCTTCCCCTCCCTCTCCCTCTGCAGATGAGTAATGCCTCCTGGAACCTGGGCACAGCCGTCTCCTTGATCTCAACCACCTGGCAGCAGCTCAGCCTCCCTCTGGCCACATCCGCTGGGCCCACCGGGCCCCAGATGGACCAAGTAGGGAACAGCTCCCAGGGAACCCCCAGGATCTTCCTCACTACCTCGCTAGCCCGAGGCATCTCTGGCATCTTTGTGTGGGCTGCCCTGGTGCTCACCTGCCACCAGGTAAGCTTGTCCCATCTATGTACCTCCCTGCTTCAGACCCTGCTGGGAGACAGTGATATGAGGCCTTCCTTGAGTGGCTGTCTCCAGTGTAGACACCCAGTGCAGGCACTCAGTGGCACTCAGTGTACATACCTAGTGTAGACAGCCAGTGTGGACACCCAGTATAAATACCCACTGTGAACATACAATGTTGATAGGTAGTACGTAGACACCCAGTATAGACTGGCAGTGTAGACAGTGTAGACACCCAGTGTGGACACAGTATAGACCAGTGTAGACGTCCAGCGTAGACAGGCATTATGGATGCATGGTATAGACAGACACCCAGTGTAGAGATAAGCAGTTTTGCCAAGTGGCTGGAAACTTCCACACAGGAGAGCTGGTCAGGTGAATGGTGTGTTTGTGCAGTACTGTCAGGTGTAGGGCAGAGAGAGCAGCAAGTTGTTGGGGGAAAACCCAGGTAGCACCATGGCTGCTGAGAGGTCAGAGGTTCAGATCCATGCAGTGGCCCTGGGGGAGCACAGATCTCCTATAAAGGTCTCTGTCTCAGGAGTGTACTGTGTCCTAGGGGGTCACTCGCAGGCACCTAGCAACTACAGCAGGGGCGGGGCAGCCAGAGTCCTCCCCTCCCTCCTGTGCTGACATGTCCCTGTGGGGACCTGATGTGTGTTCGGGGCTGTGTGCCACAGCACTGCGTGGGCATAGGCGTGTTCATATAGCAGTACGCATGTGTGCACACCATACTCCTTCCCAGGGCTGCCCAGGCTGCCCAAAACCCCTGGGCTCCCCAGCCCTGACCATCCTCCCCTGCACCCCTTCCAGGCTCTCTCACTTGCTACCCAGTCAGAGCCCCCCTTTAAAGATGAGGACACTGAGGCAGACAAGGTTAGCAGCTGGCCAAGGTCACTCAGCCAGGCGGAGCCAGCCTTGGTCTGCTGACATGGTCACACTGTACCCCTCCACCATGCTGGCCGCTGGCCGGCCACAAGAGAGCGTTGATAAGATGTCCTCCCTGGCTCCACAGAACTGGGCACATGGCCCCGCTGCACACACTGTCCCCTCCTCACCTCACCCATAGGCCACCTACTTCAGGAAGCCTTCCACATAGCCCCTCCATGGTTGCAGGCTTGACCCCTCAATCCTCTTCCAGACGCCTGGGCTGTTCTTTTGTCATCTACGTCCTCCCACTGCCCAGGAGTGACACACGGATGTGTCTCCTGCTTGCCCTCCCTCCCCTCCCTCTTTCCCTCCTCCCTCTTTTCTCCTTATCTCTCTCCCTCTCTCCATCCTCACCTCTCCTCCTCTTCAATTCCCTCCCTCTTTCCATCCTCACCTCCCTTCCTCCCTCTCTCCCTCCTTCCCTCCCTCCCTCCATCCTTCCCTCCCTCCTCTTCACCTCTTTCCCCCCTCCCGCCCCTCCCTCTCACTTTCCACCATCTTCCTTCTTGGTAATTTTGTTTCCTTTTTACAATGCTAAATTAACCATTTTAAGTGCACATTTCAGTGGCATCAACCACACTCAGTGAGTGGTCTGTGGCTTTTTATCCCCCTAATTCAGCCCCACTTAAGAACTAACTCCCCAACCCCCAGGCCCCCAGGATCCAGGGGTCCACCTGTCTCCATGTGCTTGCCTCATCGGTATTTCGTGTAAGAGATCATGCAGTATCCCTTCCTGGGAGCTCTGGTGGCACAGTGGTTAAGCACCTACAGCCAACCCGCAGTTCAAAGCCCCCAGCCACTCAGGGAGGGCAGCCTTGGAGCCCCTGAGGGCGGTTCTCCTCTACCCCACAGGCTCCCTGTGGGGCAGAGTCCACTTGAGGGCAGTGGTTTTAGGATTTTTTGCATCCTTTCCTCTCCAGCACACACACTAATGAACTGGAATTGTGCCTTGCCACTGGGAAGAATGGGAATTCTACAAACAATTATGCTCATATGAAACCTTTCTCTAGACCAAGAAGCTGTTGTTCAAACAGAACAAGGGAACACTGCATGGTTTACAGTCAGGGAGAGGGCAAGTCAGGGTTGAATCCTTTCTTCATCTCTACTCAATGTGTATGCTGAGCAAATCATTCAAGAAGCTGGACTCTGGGGAGGAACAAGGCATCAACAGCCTGTGTTAGGCAGATGACACAGCCTGCCTTTCTGAAACACTTGCTGCAGTCAGTGATCAGTGACCACAGCCTACAATACGGACTGTCTCAACATCAAAAAGACAAAAATCCACACCATTGGGGCGATAGGCAACATCATGATAGATGGGGGAAAGTGACATTACAAATAATTTCATCTCAAAAAAATATTAAAAAAACCCACATAATTTCATCTTACTTGGATCTACAGTGCACAGGACACCGTCTTTGGGGCACCCCAGATCCCTGCCCTCCTCACCCCCAGGAAGGTGCTCTGCACCAGGCAGGGGTCAGCGTGTGCTCACTGCCCCCGGCTGGCGGGCTCCGGGTTGCTGACACCTGCATGAGTCCCCTCTCCCCTCAGATCTACCTGCACCTGCGCTCCTACACTGTCCCCAACGAGCAGAGGTACATCATCCGCCTGCTCTTCATCGTCCCCATCTACGCCTTCGACTCCTGGCTCAGCCTCCTCCTCCTGGGGGACCGTCAATACTACGTCTACTTTGACTCAGTGAGAGACTGTTATGAAGGTGAGCACACCCCACACCCCAGGGCACCCCCACTCCAGGGCACCCATCCCAGGACACCCCACACCCCAGGGCACCCCCACTCCAGGGTTCCCCACCCCAGGACACCCTACATACACCCCAGGGCACCCCACTCCAGGGTACCCCATCCCAGGACACCC